TGATAAAATGCACTGAGGACACAATGTGGTGTTCTTACCAAAAATGTAATACCTGAATTTAATGATGAGGAAGCAATTAGCCCAACCTTAATTGAGGGACATGTTACAAAAGTGTCAAGGTCGTTCAGGATCAGCTGCATAATTTACAGAGCCCAGTTCAAATTAAAATATGAGGGTGGGCCCTGACTGGTTTGGCTCAGTGGATAGAGCGTCAGCCTGCGGACCGAAAGGTCCCAGGTTCGATTCCAGTCAAGGGCATGTACCTTGGTTGCGGGCACATCCCCAGTAGGAGGTGTGCAGGAGGCAGCTGATCGATGTTTCTAACTCTCTATCCCTCTCCCTTCCTCTCTGTAAAAAAAAAAATCAATAAAATATATATTAAAAAAATATGAGGGTGGAAGGAACATTGGCTGCCTCATGCGTACCCCCTACTGGAGATCCAGCCTGAAACCTGGACAGGTGCTGGAACCCATGTACCCTGAATGGGAATCAAATCGAACCAGTAATCTTTTGGTGCATGGGACGATGCCCAAATTTGGTTTGTGGCTGTCTCCCTGTGGCTCACCAAACAGCAGCTGCTCTGTGATCTTATATCATTCATTTCCAACATATATCTCATCCTGTTGAGTTAATCTGCAATATTCATCCTTTCAATATTTGTAATCTAACTATAATCCACAACCTTAGTCCTAGTCATCCTCTTTTACCAGCTAAGGCTTTATCAGGCATGCATGGAATTTTTAAACCATTTGTGGAAGTTGAAGATGAATTCAGTAGCAATACAAGTCGCATGGTCCCACAGAAGATTGTTCATTCCCATCGCTTTGCAGAATTTTAATTTGGATTTTGATACCAAATTCTATGTCCTGTTAACCAATTTTCAAATGACCATACTTATCACATTTTTGTTTAATCAGTTCATCAACAAAGACTCACAGCTTTCAGATCAGTGTATAAGAGGATAACCCATGGTTATTTTAGGTTTCAGTAGTGCATACTCACACAAAACAAATCATTTGGGTAAACATTCATCTATAAAAGATGAAATTGCATGTATCCAAGAGTATAAATAGAAATCAGCATCAGGCAGTTCCTGAATCATGGTCTTGAGGATTACAGATATGCTTAATCTGTTGAGTTGTGAATTTCCTGGGGACTAGACACATATTTTGATAGTTTTATTCTAATAGACACATTTTATTTTGATAGACACATCTGCTTATTCTATATTTCTTTAATAACTGTTTATTGAACAGTTACTATGTGCTTGGCAGTGTGCTAGATACTATTGCTAAAAAGATGAACAAAACAGACATACTCCCTCTCCTTGTAGAGCTTGCATTGTAGTGTGTGTGTGTGTGTGTGTGTGTTTGTGTGTGTGTGTGTGTGTGTGTGTGTACAAATACTAGCCCCCAAAAAACAAAATTGTAGCTGTAATACTGATTACAAAGAAAAAGTGTGTTATAAAAACATAACAAATCTAAGCAATTGGAGGAGAGGTCAAAGAAGGCTTCTCTGAGAAGCTGACATTAAAACTGAGTCCTGCCCTGACTGGGTAGCTCAGTTGGTTACTTTTGGAACTCACGGACCACCGGTTGGCAACCGCTGGGTTAGAGTGTTGTCCCAATACGCCAAGGTTGCTGGTTTGATCCCAGGCAGGGCTCACACAAGAATGAACCAATGAATGTATAAGTAAGTGGAACAACAAATTGATGTTTCTCTCCCTCCCCCCACTCACCATCTTTCTCCCTCTCTTCTTTAAAAAAAAAATAAACTGAGTCCTGAAGTGAGAGTAGAAGAAAATAGATTGGCAAGGTGGGGAAAAGTCCTCTCATCCACAAAGATCCTTAGGGAGAAAGGGCTTACTTAGCACACAATTCAGAACAGAGAAAAGGGCCATGTGTCTGAAACATGATGAGAAGATAAATGTGAGATGAGGCTGGAGATGTATACAACAAAGACCCAGATCGTCTTGGGAAACATTCTAGCTATACAATCTTGGAGAAAGAGCTTTGTGGCAGCTAGAATAAAAAGAAGGCCAATGTAACTGAAATTCAGGGCGTCCGGGAGAAAAGTGGGAGAGGAGACTAGACAAATAGACCATGAAGAGCTTAATAGGTCATGAAAAAAGATTTTGTCTCTAGCGTTAAGAAAATAGGAAGCCATTACATTTTGATTAAGGAAGAACCCTCCCAAAGAGTACTTAGAAGAAACAGCCAAAAATGTAGAAGAAAAAAAAGGAAACAATAGAGTAATGGAAAACTAAGGAAAAAGTGTTTCTTTTAAAAGGGTGAAAGGTTAATACAATGATGGCTAAAAAAGCAGGGCACTGACATGATCAGATTTGTGTTTGTAAAAAAGTACTTTGGCTGCAGCATGGAGAATTATTTGGATGTGGCCCCTGGTGAATGTGCAGAGAGCGACTGGAGGTTAATTCTGTCACCTGGGAATGAGATTATGGTAAATTAGTCTGGATGGGTGGAAATTTAAAAGACATTTGCATTAGATCCTCAGCCCTTATTCATCTTGCAGCTGAAAGTTTGTAAGCATCTTTCAGTTATCTCATTTCAGAGGATCTAATGTAAAAAATGGTTAGCATAGCCGATAACACAGTATTATATGATTAAAAATAAAGATAGGGATAAAGCAGACTTCAATAATTACTTGGTGTGTTAGTTTCCTACGGCTGTGATAACAACTTACCACAACTTGGTAGCTTAAAACAACAAAAAGTTGTTCTCTCACAGTTTTGGAGACTAGAAATCTGAAAGCAAGGTGTTGGTAGGATTGCCTTTTTCCGAAGGCTCTAAGGAGAATTTATTTCATGTCTCTCTCCTAACTTATGGTATCTGTCAGCAATTTTTTTGTGTTCCTTGGCTTGTAGATGCATCACTTTCATCTCTGCTCCTATCTTCACATGGAATTTCCCTGTGCCTCTGTCTTAGATGAGGGCACCTAATTATTAGCTCTATGAGGAGAGAGAGGATGTCCAATCCAGGATTATCTCATTTTGAGATACTTACCATAATTACATCTGAAGAACCCTTACAACTTGCACATATCTTTTTGAGGGACACAATTCAATCCACTACACTTGGCTAATGAGATAAGATAATATAATACTGTCATTCAGTGATATATGGAATGCTTCAATAGGAGCAGATTCAGAGTATACTGGGCTGCATATCTGGTGCTTTGGCCAGACGGGTCATGCTGTGCTGTCTGTTCCTAAAACACATAGATAGGAAGGTACTGACATCAGGCCAGGCCTTGAGATATGATCTCATGACCCCTTCCCAGCACGCAGGCCTTCTTTCTCAGAAGGCCCGGAAGTCTCATTCCAAATTTGGGAGACAAAGGACTGGAAAAAGTATAAATAAAGAGAGTTTCCTCCATATTGGGGGGCCCAGAATTTGAAAGACACATTTTTCTCTGGGCCTCCACAAAATTTAATAATAAAATGTAACTCTTTCAGTCAGCACTGCAGTTCAGCCTCTGCTTCAGCAGGGTGTAGCTGTAGTCAGCTGGCCAGCTTAATAAAGGCTCTTAAATTTAAATTCTGAGTCGGTGGTCTATCTCGCTGAGTGAACCCATCACAGGAGGAGGCATTTGTGAGTTTATACTTGGACATATTGAGCTTGAGGTGACTGGACGTCCTTTTTTTAAAAGCATATGTACTAGTATTACCAGTCATATATAGGTTATATTCACTCTTTTTGTGTATATGTATATCCTATCTAATAAAAGAGTAATATGCAAATTAACCATCACTCCACAACAAAGATGGCGGCACCCATAGTGCCTGGGGCAGGACGCTGGTGGCATAACCCAGGCAACACAAGCCTGGCATCCGCTCCTCAGCCGTGCAGAGGGAGGGGAGGGGCCTCTGGCCAGAGGCCGGGGCAAGGGATGCTGGAGTCGTTGAAGGCCAGGCTGAGGGACCCCTGCCTCTGTGCACGAATTTCGTGCACTGGGCCTCTAGTATATTTATAAGAAAGTCTTTTACAGATTGATAGTGCTGCTCCCTCTACTACTGCATTCTATTTCTGCCCTCTTTCATTGACATATTTTTAGAATGAGTGGTCTATATTTGCTGCTTCATTTTATCCACAAGTAGTGCCTCTTTAATCCTTTGCAATACAACTTCTTTGTTTATCTTGAAATTGACACTTTTGAGTCTCTTCTGTACCTCCATCTTTATTCTTTCTTCCTAGATGCTATCACTCATTATGCTGATGACTTCAATTTGCATGTCCATCTAAGTTCTAGCTCAAGTTTAGACCTCTAACTAGATGCTGGATAGTCTCAGCCTTTTACTTTACCAGATATAGTTCCCCTATTAATAAACTTTCCAATCCCTATTTCTTCAAGCCACATCAGTTTCCATCTCAAAAGGTTTTGTAGTAATTGCTGGTTCCTTCCTCTTCTTAAACATACCTCATTTCCACTCAATGATTATCACCCCCTTTTAATCCGTTTTCACAGGGTGCTGGAATTATTTCAATAGCCCCTCTCTGCCTACTTGCTCTCCCTCCTTGAGTGATAAAGGAAATCTTTAAGAAAAGCGATGCGATGAAGTGTGGTGCTAGATAAGATAACTTGAGTAGTATTTGGGAAGATGAAGTGGAGACGGGAGGGTGTTGACGTGAGGAGATGAAGCCCTAAATTGTAGCAATGGTGATGGAGAAGATGGATGTAAAAGGGTAATTAGAGCTGGAAGGATCTAACACCCTGTAGTCTCCTATCAATTAAGTACGTCACGTGCTCCTCTAAGAACTGTCATACTCGGAGGGGACCAACCAACCTCCACCATCCAGATGGCGGATCCCAGATTGGCCGCCGGAGTGGTAGGGAGAGGGCCTCTCTAGCTGGCGTCTCTATGGTTCGCGGAATCGCCGGGTCCGGGCTTGACCGGTCCGGCTTTTGCGCGTGCGCAAACCCAGGCACTGGCCCGCCCTCCCGCAACTGCCCGAACCCGGGGTGGGAGGGGTGGGTCTGGGAAGGTTGCGGCGGCGGCCGCCGCGGCCCCGGCACCGAGGGCTATACCCGGGCCGAGCCTGCGCCGGGGACTTCGCCGCCGCCTCCTCGGGCGGCGCTCACCCGGCCCGGATGCTGGGTCCGGAGGATGCCGGAGGCTGCTCGGGGAAGAAACCCCAAGTTACTCCCTGTGCCGGCGCCCGAGTCGGCGGGCCAGGACGGGAAGATGATCCGGGCCACGGGCGGCTTTGGCGGAGGCGTCGGCGCTGTGGAGCCGCCGGAGGAGGGGGAGGAGGAGGAGGAGGAGACGCCGCCTCAGCAGCTCTTTCGGCGTTACCTCGCGGCGGCCGGGGGGCAGCTGGAGCCCGGGCTGTGCTCCTGTCCGCTCCCCGCCGGCCAGTGCCGCGCTCCAGCGCCCTCGGCAGCCCCGCACCCAGCCCCGGGCTCCAAGCACCGAGGCGCGGAGGCGGCGGGTGCCAGCGCGCCGCGGCACGGAGGCATGACCAACGGGGACTCGGGCTTTCTGCCGGGCCAGGACTGTCGCGACCTGGAGGAGGCTCGCGGGCTGGCGCGCGCCGGCGGCCGGGAGCCACGCCACCACCG